CGGAAATGAAATTTGTTACAACGTTGCACTTAGTCTTTCATATTTGTTGTTAGTAATTTAAAAGACATTTTGAAACACATACGGAACGATGATAATTTTTAAAAATATAATAACACAAAAATGAAAAGGAAACATTTATCGAGAGCCACAAATAATCCTTCAAAGAGCCGCAGGTTGGCCACCCCTGTTATATGCAAAACCTAATGTATCAATAATAGGTTAATTGAATGAAATATATATTGTACGCTGGATATAATTTTCATAAGAACCGTTCGTCAATAACTACTATTTTCTAATTTATACCTTTAATATTACTTCAATAGTTTGTTGAATAGTTTGTTGAATAGTTCAATAGTTTGTGTTATTTTTGATAAAATACAGTATAAATGATGAAAGAAATCGATTCAGAGTCATAATTTTTTTTATTGTTCTTTATAAGGATTTTACATATGTGTGTGTATATATATATATATAAAACTGTCCGACCCGCGGACACTAAAAGGACCTGTTTTTAACAAGCACATTATAGTTTCCCGCCCAGGCGCTCAACTGAGAGGCCATTGGTAAGAGCCCGATAAATCCGGATAGACCACTCCCGAAAAATTTTGGGGATATTTCTACCCGCCCGGAGTAGTAATAAACTGAAAACTGGAGGCGTTTAAATATTTTTAAAGCAATTATTTATTGTTTGTTTTTAATTTGTTCATTTAAAAGTTACGATATAATGAGAAACTTCTTTTATTTTTTTGTAAATTAAACGAGTGAAGTTTTTTGGTACTAAAAAATAAATACACAAATAAACAATACTACTTTCATTCGCCATTTTAAAGTGACTCTGTCGATTATTTCTCTGGTTTCATTAAATCAATACGATTCATATATTTAACGTCACAAAGTATATTTCTATATTATGTATGTTGACACTAGGACTTATCTATTATTACTGTAATACGTTAATATTTGAAATAATTTTATTTCAACCAAATTATTTTATAATACATATATTTTTATTGTTTCGATCAAGTTATTTTCAAATGAAAATTACATTACTCATGAAAAATTTGGAACATTTATTTAAATAATTATTACAAATAATCTTTTCTTATCTTTCATCTTTTCTTATTACAAATAATTGACATTTCAGTAATGTTTATTATTATTTTTTAATTTCAAATACGTATTATAAAGTAAATTTTACTACAGATATCCGTATAACAATGAATAATTCTGAGATAAATACACCGATAGATTATATCTTCGTAACATACATTTATAATAGTTTTATTAGTCATTGAATAAACATTTCTGAGAAAGACTACATGTTTATTGCTTCATTTCACATATTACACTATTTTATCTTGATTTAAACTAAATTTAATCATATACACACATAAATCCTCGAATAAACAATAATTAATTATACTACATAAACGTAAACGCGTTTGTACCGGTATATTTTTAATAAGGATAAATAATATCCTGAACTTTTAAGGTACCGGTAGAAAATTTAGTGTTGACTTTATTTGATAATCTGTCAACATCTGGTATAGCAAATAATCCATATTTATGTTTTACATAGCCCTCGGCAATGTACCGCAGCCCCTGTAAACCAGGAACTTTAACAGCTTCGAAATCGTCATTAGCTAAGTTAGTTAAAGGAATTTCTATTGGATAAACATCATCTCCGTTTTGCAAAGCAACAACCAAAGATCCCATCAAATAGACAGATATTTTATAATCTATTATTTTTGTCTTGGTAATTATGTTCCATTGAAGTTTCAGAGTTTCAGAAGGGTCTAATTCAGTTTTGTAAGAACCAGTGATCATGTCATCTATTATATTAAATGTTGGTCGTCTTGCATTAAATTTATTCCATTCAGACAACACGTCTTTAAGGCTAGAGTATGATGATGGGAAGAAAATACTCCACCACAGTGACTTTTCCTCAATTATATCATCGATAGCTGGTTGAAATATGGACGCTTTTATGGAATAACTGCGACGTCTATCTCCATCGTTATGTATGTAATCGGTTCTACCTACCCAAACTTCCACATTCAGATGATCAGTTATATTTGTAATTTCGACCGTTGTAAAGAAAGGAACTTTAATAGACTTCTTCTCCCTGCCAATTAGAACATATTTATTTATTTATTGAAATTTCATTTGTTATATAATTAACTTTAATTAAAAGTCAATTATCTCTTATTTATAATTTTAAAAATATCGAAACCTTACATGTACTAATAAATGTATTTTATATTAAAAAATTAAAAGAAACTATACATAAATAGTAAAAAAAAAATCTTACCCATCAGGTTCTAGATCTGCTAGACTGAATTCTGGATCATTTTTATGTAATTCAGGATTATAGAAATTAAACCAACTCACATTCGTCCCAGTTTTATTTTCAATAGCGTAAAGGACATCTATTACATATCTTTCGAAATCTAAATGGATATATAGCTATAAATATTTTTACTTTTAAATATTTTATTAATTTTAAATAGAAAGACTATTATTATTTTACGAAGTTGGCTATTAATTAATAAACTAATTACAGTTTGCTTACATTGTTTGCTGACTGAAATTAATGATGAAAAACGTTATGTATATAAAGAATGTAGATAAAGACTATATCCTTTTTCTGCTATGTATTAGCTAAATACCATGCATGTTGTGCATGATAGTATATGTAATCGGCAGTGAGCAGTTCACCATGCACCCACATTTTCTTCTAATGAGGCAAATCGATGGTCGGACGGACGAGCGTTTAAGTGACATCCTACTGCTCTGGGGGACCGGTACTTTACGCTAGGGGATTTTGTGTGTGTGTGTTCAAAATCGAGCTACTCGATTTCTCGTGATTTCGATAGGTTAATCTGTTTCTAGTCCAGTTTTTTGTGGTCATCTGGATAGAACTTGTGATTGTGACTCTTCTGATACCAAATTTGATAATATGGACCCAATCTTTTTGGAAATATGAAGACATAAAGTTCACGTTTTTTTCGGACCGATTTTTCGTAATCTCTACGACCGTTTTTCCGGAATTGTGATCGGTGGAGGACAATACATCGAACGGTGAGTTAGATCTCCAATTTTTGTGCATTTTGGTCCACCCGTTTTTCAGTTTTTGGACTTTTTCGTTTGACATTCGGCGGCCCGCATCGGGCCTACGTGTTGACATCCGTGAAAAATCTTAACCGTGTCCGGTAGTGGACTATAGGTGCTCCTTACTGAATAATTTTGGAATACTTAATTCAAATAGAATTTGAATGGTGACGATTTAAACTTTTGAATACTTTTTCCACTTCTACTGCTAACGGTCTGATAACGGTAATAACGGTCGTCAACGGACTTGAATTGTTGCTGATCTGACGTCATCGCTTTCTTACTGATAGTTTTCTTTGTTTTCCGAAGATAAAACTTCTAAATTAGACAGAAATAATGGAAGACTTTCGCCAGGATGCCGAACGCATTATTCAGGAGACACAAAAATATATCACTGCTAATAAGGATGACCGACTGGGGACTGCACAACATAAGAAGTTTATAGTGAAATAACTTAACAGGATGATTGAATTAACTGAGGCTGCCGTCAAGAAAGCTTGCATAACAGAGATTCCAAACAATAAAATAACGAATTTAGCGACTACAGACGATATCAAAGAAGCCCTGGAGATTTGTAATAAAAACATTCAAGAGGCTGTCCATAATACCAAGCAAGAAATCAGTGAATTCATTAAAAACAATATTATACAGAGTAAAAATGAAACTCCTGTTCCATCTGTTCCGTTATATAGTACAATACTAACCAGAGGCTTGACAACAATGCAACCAAAGCCAAAACCATCACCACCTTCACCTACCTGTACAATACTGGTTTATAGTGAAAACGAGAACTTTACCTCTGAACAAACAAGAGCAACTTTGACCAAAAGTGTGGATCCAACAGCAGCTGGCGTAGGGATAAAAAAGATAAGAAAAATTAACCAGGGGGGAGTCGCAATTGATGTTTGCGATGATTCAGATGCTGAAGTTTTGGAATGTTTATTGGAGAAAGTCTCGGGACTCAAGGCTCGTAGAGGAAACCTACAACGACCTCTTATTAAGATCGTTTCGGTTCCTAAGTCTATCACTAAAGATGATCTTGAAAAACACATTTGTGAACAAAATTATTTTGCGCTTCGTGTTGAAAAATATGAATTTCCGGATCATGTTAGAGTTAAATATGCATTGAAACAAAAAAACAGTGAATATCTTTCATGGATCATTGAGGTCACTCCAAGTATCAGAGAACGATTACTTAGAGAGGGAAAGATGTACATCAAGTGGAGTAGTTGTCCGGTGTTCGAATACATTCCAGTTAGACAGTGCTTCAAGTGTCTAGCTTTCGGACATTTTGCAAAGGAATGCCCGTCCCCAAAACGTGTCTGCAGTCATTGCCAAGGTGATCACTTGTTTAAGGACTGTATAGATTCAGTANTGTGTGTGTGTGTGTGTGTGTGTGTGTTCAAAATCGAGCTCCTCGATTTCTCGTGATTTCGATAGGTTAATCTGTTTCTAGTCCAGTTTTATTGTGGTCATCTGGATAGAACTTGTGATTGTGACTCTTCTGATACCAAATTTGATAATATGGACCCAATATTTTTGAAAATATGAAGACATAAAGTTTACGTTTTTTTCGGACCGATTTTTCGTAAATTGTGAACGGTGGAGGACAATACATCGAACGGTGAGTTAGATCTCCAATTTTTGTGCATTTTAGTCCACCCGTTTGTCAGTTTTTGGACTTTTTCGTTTGACATTATGCGGCCCGCATCGGGCCTACATGTTGACATCCGTGAAAAATCTTAACCGTGTCCGGTAGTGGACCATAGGTGCTCCTTACTGAATAATTTTGGAATACTTAATTCAAATAGAATTTGAATGGCGACGAATTAAACTTTTGAATACTTTTTCCACTTCTACTGCTAACGGTCTGATAACGGTAATAACGGTCGTCAACGGACTTGAATTGTTGCTGATCTGACGTCATCGCTTTCTTACTGATAGTTTTCTTTGTTTTCCGAAGATAAAACTTCTAAATTAGACAGAAATAATGGAAGACTTTCGCCAGGATGCCGAACGCATTATTCAGGAGACACAAAAATATATCACTGCTAATAAGGATGACCGACTGGGGACTGCACAACATAAGAAGTTTATAGTGAAACAACTTAACAGGATGATTGAATTAACTGAGGCTGCTGTCAAGAAAGCTTGCATAACAGAGATTCCAAACAATAAAATAAGGAATTTAGCGACTACAGACGATATCAAAGAAGCCCTGGAGATTTGTAATAAAAACATTCAAGAGGCTGTCCATAATACCAAGCAAGAAATCAGTGAATTGATTAAAAACAATATTATACAGAGTAAAAATGAAACTCCTGTTCCATCTGTTCCGTCATATAGTGCAATACTAACCAGA